CGCGGGGGGCGGGCGGGGGTTGGGGCGCCCACGGCCGGGCAGAAGTTTCCTGGGGTTTGCTTACCGGAAAGGAAAGAAATAGCCCCCGCCCCGCCGCCGAAGGGCCCGGCCGCTGTATCACCACGGGGATGACTTGTCCTCTTAAAAATAAAGCCCTTCTTTTCTCTTGGGCTTCTGGGGGCCTCGGAAAGGGCCGTCGGGGGGTCCCTTGCAGCCCTTGGCGGCTGAGGACTGAGCGCGGACCCGCCTGGTCGCGGCGCCTCTTCCTGCCCCAGACACAAAGTCCCAGGCTGGGCGTACATGGGAGTGAGTTAGCCAGAGTCTGGGAGAATCCCAGGAAAAGAGGCTCCGGCAGAGGCAGCAGCCGAGGCTCGGCGAGACAGAACGAAGGGATGCTAGGCGCCATGCTCCCAGCGGTGCCAGCCTGAATCCCAGCCCTGAGACCCCCGCTAGGGTTTTGGGAACCTGGGGGTTTGGTAAAGGTTCAGAAGTCCGCTTATGGCTTCTAAATGTTTACAGCGTTCCTAAAACTTGTGACTACTGTCTTGAGGCGTATTTGGGGTGGGGGGGGGGGCGGGGAGAAACAGGGTGTACTCGACCAAGTGTGTTCTTTTCTGCCTCCCCTTTCCCCAACAAAGTCAACTCTAAACTTCACACCAAAGGGGCACAGATAGGCAACCGCCACGGGGGGACTCTGCGCCCACCTCGGGGATACAACGCTGAACAGGCCAAGGCAGGGAGTGGGGACCCTCCTGGAAAATCCAAAGACAGAGGCTGAGCGCCACTGTGCGAGACCCGGGCATCTTTTCGAGTTTCCCAGGTGCCCAGTGCAGTCGAAGGGGGGGTTTGGAGAGCCGAATCCATCCGGGCAAAGAAGTCCCCGCGCTCTCCCTAGTCTGGGTCTGGAGAAGGAAGAGGGGACGGCGGCGCCTGGAAAGCAAGGGCCTCGGAGAGGCTCGCGGAGAAGTTTCCCCGAGTTGCGCTGTCCCGGGACCCAGGAGCGGAGTCTCTTTCTGGGCTCCTCCACGCATCGGACAACGGACGAATCCTGGGTTGGACTGAGATCCCGACCCCAGGGGGTCCCTCCAACAGGCGGGCCGCTAGGCCCCTAAGAAGCCGTGCCCAGGCGCTTCCCACGCGGCTTTCGAGCCAGGGGCTGAGGGAGCGGCCGGTGGCTTCTGAGCCAGGGCACGGGGGAGAAAAGTTCTCTGGTCTGGGTGGCATGGGTCAAGGAGACCCCCCCAAACTTCCCAAAGAACACGCTCCGATGGCCTCCCCTTCCCTCCCCCCAAGGAAGCCCTGGGTTCTGCCTCCCCCACGTCTGGCTCCACCGTCGTTCTTAACTTCTCGCGCCAAAACGAGAAGCATAAACTTTGCTTTTGGACCTAAGAATCGCGCCGACCTCATTCAGCGACCCCAAGCGTAGGCCCTCCCCGGAGCTGACGGTCGGGGGCCGCCTGCCCAGCTTCCCCGGTGCCCCCTACGCTGGAGCCCCAGGGGCCCGGCAGAAACGCCTCTTGGGGGCCAGCCGGGTTCCCCCAGCGTCCAGACCCACACGTCGGTCTCTGGGGCCTCAGCCCCAGAGGACCTCCACAGCCCTACTGGAGGCCCGGAGAGACCCCAGGGTCGCCGAGGGGTTGCCCGACCCCACCGGCACGAGGCACGCCCTCCTGCCACCCCCCTGCCCCTCCGCAGCGGGGCGACGTCAGGTCTCCGGGCCCCAGCGCGCGGGCGCGCCGCCGGCTCTGCACCGCCGAGTGCACCAGCCCTGAACTCTGCTCTCAACGCCTCCCCGGCCCTTTCAAGTTCGCGCAAGGGGATGGCAGGAAGCATTCTGGGATCACAGAAAACCCCGCCGGCCCGCACATCCTGCACGGTGGAAGGGGCGAGGATGGAAGAGCGCCGGTGCCCTTTCCCGGCATTGTTCCCTCCCCGGCCCAGAGCGAGGGCGACAGCTTCTGAAAGGCTCAAGACCCGCCAGACCTAGCCTTGCTGTTTTGTGTGGAATGCGGGGAACACAGAGCCGGCCAGGTTTTTCTCTTTTCTTTTTCTTAGCAATCGAGCGCTGGGAAAACAAACGGAACTTCCATATTTCCAGCTCTGGGAAGTAAAAGGGTCGCTAGGCCGACCGCTGCACCCCCGACGTCCAGCCCCCACCTCACACGGCGCGTCCCGCGCAGAGGATGCAGCTGGGGTCACTTTGGTTCCCTCCAGTTCGGCCCACAGTTTGGAAGTTGCCCAAATCCGAGCCGGCGGCCGGCGTCCACCTGGGCTTCTCTTTGGGCGGGTGGGGTG